GAGGATTCACCAAACTTGCTTTTGCAAATACCATTTCTATACTAGCACATAGGAGGATAATTACACAAGTATAGAGTACTAAACATGTAATGAAGTAATTCTATACACTAAGGAGAGGGGGAAATATTGTTAGCTATTTGGAGATCATACACTGCCATTATGTTTCCTTTATTAGGAATAGAACTTAGGAAATTCATCTTATCTTCTGATCAATACAACTATCACGATTCAACCTCCCCTTTCAGGTTTTAATCTATAATATAAGTCATGATAAATTTAAATTAGCAGCTATCACACCGTGAGCCTCGTAAAACAGTAGCTAACTTTGACGGATAATGAGCCCATACAACCCTTAAAACAATGTGTATCACCACACCCTCCTTCTCTGCCCAATACATACATTATATATCCTTTTTCCAATATTACCCAAACTGCACCAGCAACAATACACATAAAACAGCCTCAAGTATTCTTTATCATACAACCAATTATTGAACTCACCACCCCCTTGAGTTCTTTATGACAGCACACCCATAATTCCTCACTCAAACTCATACATAATGAGAAAGAAAATGGAGCAGTCACCTTACCTCAATTTCTGCAACTGTTGACACCCAATTTTGACCCTATGCAATTCGAATTAATTATCGAGCTTCTTCAATTTCAAACAATTTGAAATAATCGTCTTTGAAAAGATCCTAAAAAAGATATATTTTTTAAATCTCTTTCTAATTAGTTTTGGTTAATATTTTTCAGAAATAATTATATAATTTTACATGTTGGTTTATATAAGTCTCATCTTTTATATAAATATTTAATAAATAGCCTAAAATAATGTTTAGTGTAATTACGCATTTATTTCTTTGAAGTAGTGAATTTTATAATTTTGAATAATTAGTTCTCTATTTCAAAGCAATAAATAAGTTTTGATAATTATTTTGTCTTGTTTAAATTAAGAAGCTCAAATAATTAATCGATAGTTATTCATCTTATTTTAATTTTTTGCCGAATTGGTTATCTGACTCAATTTGGCTACATCTAAATTCAATTTGATTAGAACAACATTTAAAGTGGCCAATTTTTAAATAAAAAAGGGGTCATCCTTTTGTCTTAAAACCAGTACACATATCTACGCTCTCACGATCTCTTTCTCCTTTTTCAGACGCCTCTTGTCCCTTTCTTCTTCCCAAAATCGCAAAGGTCAATAGTAAGAGCCCTAATTTCTTCATCCGCCCATCACCTTTGTCAGTTCCTCTCCTTATTTTCAAAGGTTACAGACCTCGGAACAAGATTTGTTGACTTTGGCTGAGAGAAATCTCACCTAAATCTGATGTGGATCAAGAAATATCACATCGAACCCAGATTTTCAGGGGTATGTTCTCCTCTTGCTGGCTTTCCCTTCCATTATCTCCGATCAATCTCTCATCTCCCGCGAAAACGGCTATTTTGAATTCAAATCTCTATTTTGCTATAAATAGTGCCATTTAAAGATACACTGGGGGGAGGGGAAAAACACAGTGATATAGATTCATAAGAAGAAATTTTGATTTCATTAGTTGATAAGTTAAGAACTTCGAATCTCGAGTTTTCGTCTTAAAACTCTTTGTTCTTTGTCATCGGAAGCTTTCGTCGGAGTTCTTTTTCACGTGGTGGTGAAATAGTTCGTTTCAACTCGTCATCTCAAGTTCGGTGCCCATAACCAGGTACTCCGCTTCTGCTATCTCTTTAAATTCCCGATTTTGCTTTGTGTTTGTTTTAAGTATTTTAGTTGTTTTTTATTTAGTCACTGCTTAACATGTAGATTAATGGGTAAATGCCATATAGCTTACTGTTTTTTTTCTTATTTAGATTTTTCCAGCTCATATTTATTTCCTGTCGTTTGTTAGAATTCAACTTTTGGGTACTGCATTCTTAGTTTCGTTTTCCTGCATTCTGTTCGCTCAAGTGTAATTCCCCATCCCTTTTATCTAAATCACATGTTTAAGCTCTCATTGATATGTTTAGTTGTACACATTTAAATATTGGTATCATGGAAGAAATCAGCTTAATTCCGAAGTTCTGCTGGCTTTATTTTCCACATAATTGAGAGAATTTAAACGTTTGTTTCTTACCATTAGTTGGCTTTCATTCCAACTCGAATATATCTGAAAATGGTAATCAGGCACTGTTTAGAGGTTGTTTTCATGTCCAAACAAAAAGCATCTCTTTGTTTTCCAATGGATGACTTTGGTTTCAATTTTAAGAAGTAAAACTAGTAGGAATCTTAAGACTTTTTGCTTAAAATCTGTTCTCCTACTGCCAACGGGTTAACTCCTGTTTATATCCCTGAATCTGCTGATTTTGGTAGTGAATTTCAAGTTATTTCCATTAGTTTTCTTCCAAGATCTTTGTTTTATCTTGGTCTATATTTAGCTACTGCCTATAACATTTTGCCTAGAGCTTCCCACTCTTTTACGTCACCAATAAATAAACTGATCTAAAACTAATTAGTATGTCCTCGGGTTATTTCTAGGATCTAACTGAAGTGTCATGTCCTTCATTATTAACCATGTACTACATTAGTTGTTTATTTCCAAAACAGTAGTTTAGATTTCTATCTAAATACTTCATGATATTGTAGAATCTCTTTATAGGTGTGGTTGACTAGCTTGTTAATTGATTTAAAGAATCCAGTAGCTATTCAAATCTGTGTGATTAGGACTTTAACATTACCATGGATCTTACAAGTATGTCTAATAATTATCTAATGCATGTCTTCTTTGTGATCCATCCTTAAAGATCCCTAAATTGTCAAAATTATATCGTTACTAGCTCGCTTTGCACCATTAGCTCTATTCTACAGAGATATATAGACCATGATCCGTGATTGCAGAGTATTGGGTTAGACTCTTTAGTCACCATTTGACCCCTTAAAAGACTTTAGGAATGGTAAAGGTTATTTATTTAGATGTATTTTTATTTTTAGCTTAAAGATCCTAAAATATTTATGTACTTCCCCTGTGTTCTCCTACTGTTTTGAAATCTCCATATAGCACTGACTTTGTTTAGATAGCCTTAAGAGATTAGTGCTATTATCCTTAGTATTTTAATATGATTAAATCATTACTGATGGATTTATCACAGTGATGTATCCACTATTTTGTTTAGAAGTGACTGTTGATTTTATTGTATATGAGGAAAACATTTATTTTATCTTGTTTTGTTAGTTCATTCTCGCCACTAATTTCTTACTTCTCTTATGCATGAACTCCCTTTGAACGAGTCCAATGGACTCCATCTTCACCCTTTCCTTCATCTTCGAGTCAATCTTCATCAAGTCGTTAAAAGGGAAGCAAATATTCGGGTTAAAACCCAAGTCACACAATGCTAAATTGCAGCAGCCTCAAAGGGCTGGAAACGCAGATTACAAGTCCCAAAAGCCTAAGAAATGGGTTGTATACATATTGTATACAGCAGTATACGTTCGTCATACAGTGAACTATAGTTCAAAAATGCGAAAATACAGAGATGAGATAAAATACAGGTGTTCGAAAGCAAGAAATACATGAAAGGGCTGATATACATGCCGATATACACTGATATACATCAGCTGTATACCAAAAACGGGATTGAGTAAATCCCCAGAAATTACAGCGAAATTGGCCTAAAAAGGAGGCCCAAATTCTATTTCTAACTTATTTAACTGTGTGATTATTTATTTATTTGTTTTTTTTATTTTATTTGCGACTTAATTTAATTAAATTCCCCAAAAGATAAACCATATTCTTTGTGTTAGTTTTTTCTTTAAAAAATAATTCATCTTATCAACTCTTATGCTTATGCAAATATTTTAGTCAAAAACTTTCACTTATCTCTAATTAGATTAAAATAATGTCTTGATTTGTCTACCAAGTTGGTTCGAATTATTATTTCTAAA